CGCTGAGGTTTGCTTCCTTCCGGGCCCGGTTTCCATGTCACTGGACCACAGCCCCACCGGCTCCCTCGTCGTGTACGGCGATGACATCGAGGAGGCCATGTCCCCCAACCGGAGCGTCGCCGCCGTGGCCGTCAAGGACGGCGACGCCTCCGTGTACAAGATCATCCACGGCTTCCTCAAGCAGAAGAACAACTCCATCATCAACGTCGCCGCCAGCGTCGCCCGGAAAGCGGCCTCCAACAAGTACGTAACGCGGTAGCATCTGTCGCTCGGTTGAACTTCGTCATGGATATCAGCTTCAGAGACAGACGAAGAGATGGAGCTGACCGACTGGTTTCGCGCTCTGTTTCGCAGGCTGTCGAGGAAGACTTCGGATGTTTTCGACACCCTGATTCAGCAGCAGCAGAGCAGGCTGGGGAACAAGACCGGGCCTCTGCTCTCCGGGATATCCTACTGCATAGCCTCTTGCAGCATGATATTGCTCAACAAGGTGGTTCTCTCCAGCTACAACTTCAATGCCGGCATCTCACTCATGTTGTACCAGGTAATCAGTTTGCTTGATACTATCTCTGAGTTGAACCATTCTCAAGTAGTAACTTCATAGCTCGATACTGGCATATGTGTACGCATATGAGATGTGGTGATTGCGCTGACAAGTTATCATCGATTCATCATTGAGCTGATCATGACCACTTTGGTTCAGAATCTTATATCTGTGGTCATTCTTGTGGCACTCGAGTTCTTCAGCGTAATTTCAACGGAAGAACTGACATGGAAGTTGATCAAAGTCTGGATCCCAGTTAATCTCATTTTTGTTGGAATGCTAGTAACCGGAATGTACAGGTGCGTCCTGCTTAAATGTGTAATTTCTACAATCTTCTTACAAAAAAATTGGCCTAACCTTCTTTTTCCCCTCTTCTTTGTATCATTTTTTTCAGTTTGAAGTACATAAATGTTGCCATGGTGACGATATTAAAGAACATGACAAACATTTTAACAGCCCTAGGGGAAATATATGTTTTCAGGAAGGGTCAGAACAAACAGGTTTGGGCTGCCTTGTGCATGATGGTAAGTCCTTTTCTGCTAGGCATGTCCTTCATTTTTCTTCCAAGCATCAGCTAATGATTTCATTACTGAACCGATTTAAGAGTGTAACAGCAGACTAACATGATCGATGACCTCAGTGTACTTTCTCTGTTTTTCTTGCAGATTGTATCAGCTGTATGTGGCGGTATGACAGATCTTTCTTTCCATCTAATTGGTTACACTTGGCAGATTTTGAATTGCTTTCTGACGGCAGCCTATTCGGTTAGTTCATTTTGCGCATAAAGATGCCTCTTTAGTATTTACAGATGTATGTGAACTGACCAATACTATTGTGGGGCATTTGAAATCTTGAAGTTAAGTTGTTTGGTCGATCCATATTAGATTATAACGCCATTGGCAATACCGAAACTTCGTTTAACCTTGGATTAATTGTATCGATTTCAGAGGCCTTCTTTGACTGATCGCTAACATATGGTTTCTTATATCAGCTTACACTGAGACGCCTGATGGACACGGCCAAACAATCAACGAAATCTGGTTCCCTCAATGAAGTTTCTATGGTGTTACTTAACAATGCGCTCTCGATCCCTTTCGCGGCCATTTTGATTATTGTCTTCAATGAGTGGGAATACGTTTATCAAACGTAAGAGCTTAATCTTACTCCCTATCTTAACCATACATAAAAGCAATACAAACTTATTATGATGTGCAGCAAACTCTTATTTGTTCAGGACTGATTATTCTAGAGTATGTTAACATTACTAACTTGCCCAGAAGTAGTTATCATGCACTACTTTGCCATTTATGCAAGTCATGTATCTTAGCATATTAAAAACTCACTTTGTTCTGCCCCACTTTGAAATTTAACTTGTCTCAGACGTTTTGGGTTTGCTCGCTAAAGAAGCTATTTCTGTAACCAACCTTAACATGCAGTCAGATGAAATGGAAAAATCAAAGAGTTTTCCAGTATTACCCATTAATATTTATTTTCTTTCCTCGAAAGATGGCTTGGGGCTCTGCCCTTGCACTAACCCTTAATGTGTTCTTCTTCATGTCATCTGCAGCGAAGTTATTAGAGAGCCCATGTTCTGGGTTTTTGCCACAGCCAGCGGGTTGTTAGGACTAGCGATCAGCTTCTCATCCGTGTGGTTTTTACAGGAGACTGGCCCAACAACTTACAGGTGAGATGATACTACTAACTCAATTCCTTCTTCAAAGTGCCCACGGAAATGCTTGCATTTCGCAAAAAAAAAATGCTTGCATGACAAAAAAGTATTACAATAACTGTAACACCATCAAAGTTCTTGACATGTTGATAATCATTCCTCTCCTTTTTAGTCTTGTTGGCTCACTAAACAAGATACCCATTTCGGTCGCTGGTGTCTTGCTATTCAACGTCCCTGTTAGCGTGGAAAATTTGTTCAGCATAGTTTTCGGTGAGTATTTTCTTTCATCAAGTGTTGAGTTATGCCGCATGTTACCTCGCTACCCCAAGAGTATCCCTGATTGATATGGTTTTCTACTCGATCTCAACATCTGCAGGTCTTTTCGCTGGGATATTCTTCGCAAAGGCAAAGATGTCCAAGTCCTAATGCTCATTTGCATGGCGTGACTGTAACACGAAAAGGTTGCACGGCAAGGCCTCCTATCAATCAACTGTACAGATATATGATCAGAGTCCGTTTGACCTTGTCGAGTCGATCGGGATTTCGTGAAACATTCTGTTTATTCTTTCCCAGATTTGTTTCATAACTGTGTCAAGCATGCATGCAGAAGGCAGTTTGCAAGACTTGCCACAGACTCTATCCAGTTGTTGATCTCTGCTCAAGAAGTTGAGCAGGACAACCATACAAAATAAAGGGAAAATATTTGGCCATTTCAACACTGGGAATTTGTTGTTGGTGTGACCCAAGAGCTTCCTCTGTTCCTCTCTCTGATTTTTTCAGTTTGTTAATCGCTGTAAATAAATTGGAATATCACAGCCAACCAATCTTTGGCTATGATTTAGATATATGTACGGACATGGGTACATATAAAGGTTGTCAGTATTGGGATCTTAGCAAAGCAAGCTTAACATGGGTACAATACAACATGCACATACTGAGCCTTTGAGAGAAATTACTCCAGAAGTTGTGTGAAGAAGAATACAAATCTATAAGGCATCACAGCAAGAATCGTTTGAGTAGTCACACCGCGTGTACGTACATATATGCAGATCTCTGCGATGTTTTTCATGGAGTTACAGCAATAAATCGAGCTATGAGATCGAAGCACGCACCCAAGCGCGCGCCTACGTATTAGGCGGGCTGGTTCAGCCTAGCCTTTCTTGGCGAAGAGGCCGCCGAGGTTGAACCCGCCGCCGCCCTCGCTGTCGGCCGCGGGCTTCTTGCCGGCGGTGGTGCCGCCGGCCTTCCTGGAGGCGGTGCCGCCGGCGGAGGGCGCCGGGCCGTCCACCTTGTTGAGCAGCGGGTTGGTCTCGATGAACTCCTGCTCGTCCTTGACGATGGCGCTGACGATGAAGTCCAGGATGCTCTTCTCCTTCTTGGCCGGAGCCGGCGTGCCCCTCGTCGCCGCCGGCACCGCCAGCCGCGTCCGCTGCGGGCGAAGGCTCGTCCTCCCCGCCGTCGACAACGCCGGCGCCACGGCCGCCACGCTGCTGCCGAACCCCACAGACGCCATTGCTAGCTACTGGCTCTCCTGGATTTCTCGGCGATTCTTGGCGGCGATAGATATGGATGTATGGTGGGACTGTTGAACTTGGTGAGGGTGGCGATCGGGAGGCGGGCGGGTGGCCATATATGCGTGGGAGGCAGGGAGGCGATCGGGAGGGGATGGTGGCCACAGGCGGCTTATCCGCACCTACGTATGCGTGCCACGGTGCCAGCCACCGGCGGGTGGGGTGCACTGGCCGTGCGTCCCGCGAGAGGTCGGCGCGGGCTCGGCACAAGCGCGAGTGGCAGGGATCGACTCGGTTGTAGGGCCAGCGTTGCTTCGTCTCTTTGCCGTAAAAAAGTCACAAAAAGATCCCAAGCCAAATGACGACGTATATGCATGCAATATTTTTTGCGGGAATATAAATGCAATACAAACCAATCCGCACGTCCAAAGTTCAATCAAACACGACTGAATCATGAACAAAAAACACAAATCCAGCTGTGAAATGGAGATGTGGGCCCCTTTGACCTGTTCTTGTTGACTAGGCAAGCTTTGACATGGGCCCACGTGTAAGCGAGAGGGGGAGAGGGGGTTGGGAGAGATTTTAATCTTTTCTTTTTATTATGGGGGCCCCACATGTAAGTGAGAGAGAGAGAGAGAGCGGGTTGGGAGAGATTTTAATCCTTTTCATTTTTCTGGGAGCTCACATGTAAGTGGCATATGCAGAGAGGGGTAAAAAACATCCAGAGAATGTCTCATAGATGGTCAAAAACCTTTAACCGGATAGAAACAACACACAAAGGCATTTCTACAAGGATACTTGAGCAAGAGCAAATTTGAGCATAGTAAATGTCGGTGGTAGGTTCGAGTTATGGGCAAAAATAAAAATTGTCACATGCCATGGTTGGCTCTCCAATACATTGGAGAACAATCGCATGGCTACATGGGTATAGCAGCAATGCTTGGCTGGGAATTCATGCTAGGGCCCAGGGGTGGAGCTTCACTAGCTAGGGCCCAGGGGGCATAGCACCCTACCCTCAGGAAATTATGTGAAATACCGTTAACTGTTAAGCTATTTTTTTAAAAGATTGTGAAAGTTTAAGCAGAATTTGTCCTTTTGCCCCCCTCAACTCTTCTTTACCCCCTCAACAATCGCTATCGAGCTCTGCCACTACTTCTGATCATGTCTTTTGTGTATTAGAGCATCTACATTGATCAAATTCTTACAAAAGGCAAAATGCCATACTGGTATGCTAACTTTTAAGAAAAACTTTTCAAGAAAATACACAAGTTACTGTTTTGAGTCTCATAAATTCTGGACCACTTAGTTCCTACGTGATATGCACATTCCACTTATTAGTAAGGGTGGAAAGTGGCAGTGGGTCATATTCAAAGAAACACCTATATGGCAACTAAATGTGTCCGAGTTAAAAAAATGTTACAGGGTTCAGTGTATGATCAAAGTTACAGGGTTCATTTCAGATAATATTACAAACTATATTTTGGAACAGAGGTAGTAAATCATAAATGAGACATGGCAACTAAAAGTGATGTGATGACAAGGTCCAATTTACTCTTTAGATCTATTTTCTTTTTCAAACATAAGGTCTCCTTTGGTTCATAGGATATGAATATCAAATGAATAGGAAATCATAGGAAGTGAGACACCATAGATGTCATTTCATGCATATGATAGAAATTTTTCAGTGAGTCTAGGTTAATGTTTTTTTCTTTGAAATGTGAAGAAAGAAGGATTGCTTCCTATACTACATAGTAACAGAAATCTATTCTTACAAACCAAAAGGCTCCAAAGTGACTTTTCCTAAAAAATTTCTATCCTCTAGAATTTCTACAAAATTCCTGTAAACCAAAGGACACTTAAACGCTCAACGTAACAATGCCAAGTTTCCCATCTTGAAAAGCAACACAAGGGGAGGACCGCCTTTCTAACGTGCCCCAACAACGTTGCGTGCACGTCGTATCATTCCTAGAAGCCTTGCTTTTGGAGAACATTCTTGTAATCCTTTCTTATTTCTGAAAACAAGCTTTCCAGCTTCAAGATTCTCTCTCTCTCTCTCTCTC